TATATATATATATTCCTTTCAACAAGTTTTGTTAAATAATGAGATACCAAATAAAGTGTCATGTTACCATATTATATATCCTCAACTTAAATATACATATATTTCTCTTTTAGAAGTGTTTTTTTATATTATTTATAGAAATTTATCTAAACAAATTGTATATATGTATTCCATTCCAAACAGTAAGTAAGAGCAATAAGTTGTAGTGAACCTGTGTCTAAGAGTGTGAAGATAGCTCTGTATGTTTCCGATGAAAAGAGCAAAAAAGCATAGTCCCAAAACCATGATGGCCATTGCAAATAGGACTTCCCACACAAAATAGCTTGGGGATAGGTTATCAGCCAAAGTGATGACTTGCTGTATCAAAGGCTATATAATTATCAATCCTTTCATGTGCCTTTCATAACGTGCATTAAAATTCAATAATATTCAAAATGTTTCCAAAAAAATACGAATCAGACTATTTTATAAAAACGGTTTGGATAACTAAATCATTTTTTTAATTGTTTTGGTTCGATTTAGTTCTGTCATAAATTTCAACTATCAATGATTGCGAAAAAAAAAAAACTAAAAAAATTAAAAATGATCTTATTCAAGATGAAAAATTAGATTTATAATATAGCTAGGAGTAAATTTATTATATATTTAAAAGATAATTTATATGTTGAAAAATATTTATTTTTATAAATTTATAATTTATATATTTAGAATTATTTATTTATTATAAATTTCAATTATATAAAATAAATATTTATCATATACAAAGCAAAAACTAAATTACTAATAATTTATACTATAATATAATATTATTTTTAATAATTTATTAATTATTTAAAATATTTAAATTTAATTTAAAATTAAAATAATAGATTAAAAGAGATAAGTTGTTAAGAAAATCATGCATATAAATAAAAAAAATGTGTCTTTTATTTATAGAGAGATTATAACTACAAATATCTTAAAATGCACACAGTATAACATGCTATTATACTCCAACTATCAAGTGGGTGTACGTTTACAAATATTGAGAGGTTTGCTAGTGTACATTGCAATATATAATACGTATATTTTATAATCTTATTTGAATCTTCATATTTGTAGACAAGTGCCACTAATTGGGGAAAAAAATTAAACCATCAATTTGGTCCATCAAATTTTATTTTCTTCTTATTTAATACCTAAACTAATAGAACTATATTAGAATTTTCTCAAGTATTTAGTTAATAAGAGAGAATAATACTTGAAGGACAAAATTAGTATACTTTAAACCTTTGAATGAGTATATTTTACTAACATTTACACTTGAGAAATAAAATATATATTCTAAAAATAATAATTCTTTTTAAAAAGTATTTTTAAAGAAACATGTAGGAGTTTTTCTTACAAAAAACCATAAAACTGATTTTTTTTCTTAAAAAATAATTTAGAAACACATAAAAAATTACTTATTTTATTAAAAAAATATTATTTAGAAAAATTAAACAAAATAATTTTAATGGAGGAAAGGGGAAAAATTACAATTTTTTTTTAGTTTAAAAGAGAAGATAAGAGATAATTCTTTTCTTATTTGATTCATAAGAAGAGAGAGAATTTTTAAAATTAATTTACTTTTATATTTTTATAAATTTAAATTTAAGAACATATATACATAAAAATATTTTTGAACATTCTAAATTTTTTAAAAATCCATCTCCAACCTTCCAAATTCATCTAATATATAAGGGAGTTAAATTTGGCTAAAGACATTCTCCTTCTCTTCCTTTTTAAAAGTTAAACTAAATAAAAATATATATATAAAAGTCCATCATCTTTCCCGCCTCTCCAACTACACACTACTAAATCCTAAATAAAATTTTAATCAGAAAAAAAAAAAAAGAGAGAGAGAGAGAGAGAATGAAACATGTACGTACCTGGTAGCCCCAAAACAGTGCAAATACATATTTTCTGATCACCCCAACTTCTACAGTTAGGGGTACAGCCACTTCATAAATTCCATATGAAAAGGCACCAGAACTGGCATCCAAACAAGCAGCAGCATTTGTATTATTTTTCCACATATCTAACTTCTCACCAAATGCATGGCCACAATCAATTAATACTGAGCAGTCATTAATATCAGAATTATAGCAGGCATCTCGCAAGCATTGATTAACCCTCTGGAAAAAATGAATATTGTTAATTATTTAATACACAAAATAGTGTATGCATTACATCATGTAAATATTATTATCTGTCAAAATTCGTAATCTTTGACAGATAGTTTTTTTTTATAATTCATTTCAACTAGTATTTATATATAGTTAAATTTATAATAAATTATATAAAAAATAAATATTAAGTTTAAATATATAAATTGTATTTTAGATTTATGATAAATAATTTGTATTATATGTAAACTTAAATATAATATTTAAATATATAAATTATATTTAGATTTAATATACATAAATATTTTTAAATATATATATATTATATTTTATATTTATAATAAATAATTTGTATTGTAACAATTTTTTTATGTATTGATAATTTATTTTAAAATATATTTAATTTATAAATAATTATGATAAATAAAAATTAAATTAGATAAAAAATTATTGAAAAAAAAATTCTAAAAATACTTTTGCATTATACCGGAGTTTAATTAATAGAATCAAATTTGTTTCAGATATCATTTTGACTGACCTGTAGACCAAAGCGGTACCAGCAAGAACCAACAAAATGGCCACAGAGCATAAAAATGAGTAGATTTTTAATGTCTTTCGCTAATGCTTGCTCAAGTATGAATGCCGTTGTAGACCGTACAATTTGTAAAAACCTGAATAATCTGGGAAATTGTTGCAAAAATATCATTGCACGCACAAGATATGTAGCATAATTTGCTCCTGATGATCCCATAAACTTTGGTAGGACAAATAATATGATTATCTGCAAATATTTTGCTATACATGTCATGACCAGGAATTTGAACTTTGAAGAGTTACATAACAAACCATTAGTCTTTTTTCACGTATCTGCTGCCTAGTTGATCTCAAAATACCAAGTTATTAGAATGAGCAAACTCGGCCAAAGAAATTAAATTAAAAATTTCCATTGAGAAAGAAAGGGAGATTGGGATAAATTTACCTGAGGAAGAGGAAGTACAATAAATAAGTCAACAAGAAAATAACTCTTCAGATAATTAAGAGCAATTTTCTTGGGATGGTCAACTAAATCATCAGCACCCAATACCCTTGACCCAGGAAAAACATAAGCCAACCTAAACTGTAAAGAAACAATTTATTTAAGCTTTAAATTATGTAAAGGCAGCAAAGTAGACTTAAAAACTCTACAAACTTATTTAAGATTCAGGATATATACATGCATTTTTCTTTTCCTTTTGACATGTTTTACAATTGTTTGAGTGAATTTTTTATGGGGAAATCAACAAGATTTAGACATACTATGTAACATTGTATGAAATTTTTAGAATAAATTAATAAAGAATTTTTGAAATAGTTAATTGAGTTATTTTTTTAGTGAGAGTTATTGATAAAAAGAAATATTTTCTAATTTAATTATAATAGATAATTATTTCAATTTCAAATGAGGAGTAACTTATAGTGGATTAATGGACTTTTACCAACAAGTTATGCGCAAGCTAGGATTTATTATTCTCTCTATATGTAAATTAGTAAGACTAGGGTTGCCTCACATACACATTAACCCGTGCTCTTATAATCTGAAGAAAAGGGAGAATCGAAGGTAGTCAAAAAATATGGCCTCGAAGATTCACATATGAAGTTTGGCATTCGTTGAGGTAAGAGAAAGTGAGAACCTCACCCTTAAGTGTGGGTTATCCGTGAGTTAGCAAAATTGGTCCTCAATCTTGGTTGTTTGTGTATGATGGCATGAGGGAGAAATCCCAGTCTTTTTTTAGATTATAATTTGTACTATATGTGATCTCATGTGTTCTGCTTGTGTTAATAAATCATGTTATCATTTTTTATTTGTGTAATTACCTTTTGTTTGTGAATTTATAAGTGTCTGGGTTCTCGGAAAAACCCTTAATATTAAGACAAAGACAAAGCAAATTATTGGAGAGACATATGTGATTAAGAAACTTATAGAGTAGAACAAATTAATTAATTGTTATATACACCCCTTATTGCTAAAATGAATTCGTGAAAACTTGTGGGAATCATTATGTGTATAACTCGCATTTTCTACGTAAGAGATCATTTTGATACCGTGCCATGCTCTAGATGAGGCTACTGGGCTTCGCATGACCTTCCAATGATACATTGTTACTATTTGTTTGAACTACACCAGGCACAAGGTATTTAATGTCAGCTATCACCTTGTTCCCGCGCCTGATGAAATGCATACAATTGTTTGATGAATTAAAATAACTATTGGATATATGAATTGTGTAAACTAATTGATTACATTAAGTGACATACGTGTAATTAAGGATATATGTGTGGAATTTTGATGATATAAATGTGTTTTGGCTAAAGTGATTCTTGATATTATGAGTTGTGTTCTATGCAAGAAATGTGTGATGAATATGTGATAAGTCTAAGTTTAATTTAACACGATAAAAATCTAGGTGAAATAGCCTATAGCAGGGATATGATTATCATGACCTTAAGTTGTGTATGTAATAATGAATAACTTGATATGAACATGCATTGAGTCTCATGTGACACGTATCATGTGTATAATACATTTTTGTAATGCGTACATGACCTTGAGAATAACTAGGTTTGGGAGTCTCAATCTTATCCTTTATGTGCATGGGATGAAACTTGCACACACTAGTGGAAAAAGGAGCTACTACGTCTCTTCATTTACGTCGAAAACTAGCACACCCGACGTTGTAAAAATGCGGTGGCAGTTCCATAAATAAGAGGAGGAAATTTACGTCGGACATCGATGGGTCCGACGTAAATAACTCCTTAAATCAAGAGCGCGCACTACAGATTTCAAATCATGGCATTCTTCTTCATCTTCACGTTCTCCCGCGCGTTGTGGATTCTTCCTCATCCCTCCGCCTCCACTACAGATTTCAAATCGTGGCATTCTTCTTCATCTTCACGTTCTCCCGCGCGTTGTGGATTCTTCCTCATCCCTCCGCCTCCTCCTCAAATCGTGGTTGTCTTCCTCATCTTCACGTTTTTCTGTTTTTCTTCTTCGGAGTTGCGTTGTTTCTTCTTCGCGTGTTGATGGAAATGGCTTAACCATACATCCATCTGTTTTTCTATGAGGTAGTGACCACTCCTTAACCGATGTTTGTGTTTTCTGGGATGTATTTTTCGTAATAATGTTTGTGTTGCATTTCGTGTTTGTGAAGCTGCAGAAGGAAGTGACCACTGCCTGGGTCTATCAAGCAGAACGGACCGTTCTGCTTGGAGAACAGACCGTTCTCCAAGCAGAACGGGCGTTCTCCAAGGAGAATGGGCCGTTCTGCTTGCACTCGTTTTTTTTTAAAAAAAATTTCATGACTTTTTTACGTCGGACCTTGGCATGTCCGACGTAAATTTACGTCAGTTTTTGACCCCCGACGTAAATTTTACATCTCCCGTATTGACGTTTGATACTTTTCCGACGTAAAAGGCTTCAAATACCCGACGTAAAAGGGGTCTTTTGTACTAGTGACAACAAAGTTATATCGACGTGCCACTGGTGTGTACTGTATATCCTCCTAGTGTATAATGTTGTAATGACTATGACTCGACATGTTTTCCTAGGTTACTTAGCCTTTGGGCTGGGTTAAGTGATTTTACTTATATCACATGCATATAATTTAGAGTCTTATCAATTGCATTATCATAACATCCTCATTGACCGTGAATTATGAATTTAATGAATGATGAGATGTGTGATATAAACATTGTCGTATCTTTAGGATTAATTGTAAACATATGTATGTTGTGTAATTATATCTTGGTTAATTGCGAACAACAAATGCCAATAATGTTGAATATATGAAATTATTATTATTATTATTATTATTATTATTATTATTATTATTATTATTATTATTATGTAATTGTTGTTATTTGTGTGTGTGGTTACCTGGTCATAACTTACAACGGTAATCGGAATGAGATGTTTTCACTTTCCTTTGATGTATGGTTGCAAATGAGTTTAATTATGATAAAAATGAAGGAGAGGTTTAAATCTTATACTAAGAATGTTTTGATAGGATGTGACATCAAGACAATAGATAATAATTTGTTTTCTACTATTATTTGCATTAGGAATCTAAATTCTATTAGTTGAATTTGATTTTAACCAAGTTTGATTTTCTTGTAATTAATTTCAAATTTGGTCTTGTTTCTTGCTAAGTTTTAGTTTAATGTGACACTTCTACCTAGAGATTTTTAATTTATTTAGTAAGATTATTCATAAAATTCCTGTTGTATTTATTGATATGATACATTGGGGGTAGAGGGTGTCACACTTATAGAATAAGGTAGTGAAATTTTATTACTTGAATATATAGAATCAACTTCCTTTGTATGAAATGGAAGGCAATCAATAATTGAAGCTTAATACCCAAGCACTAAAATAAATGTATCTTTAGCAACATTAGAAAAATGTTACTAAATTATAGTAAATGTTACTAATATATGATTTTGCAACATTTTATCAAATGTAAGATAAATTTTATGTTATTAAAGACTTTTAACAACATTTTGCATATCAATAATTATTTTTAAAAATGTTATCAAAGTGATATTTTGTAACATCTATAACAATATATAAAAGGTGATACAATGTTTTTGTGTACACATTTTTAAGATATTTTTAACCTTCATTTATTTTGGTAACCGCACATCCTCTTCTTTTAGTGTAGAATAATTCAGTAATTTTATTTATCTAAAATAATTTTTTCTTTAATAAATTGCAACTTTCCTACCATTGCTAGTTTTAATAATGTTAAGTTTTTGTAAATTTTATAATTAGACTATAGCATCACTTATACTTTAAGATTCTTGTTAGCAAGTTCTTTAAGATTTAAGATATCGTAATTTTTTTTTTTTTAACAAGAGAAGATATCATAATCCTAAGTTAGTCATTCTTACATATATATATATGTCATATATCAAAATTCATTTATCTTAAGTTTTATTCTATCATTATATGTATTCTTTATATGTCATTCTTTTATTTAATGTGGACTTCAATTTAAAAAAAATAATTAAAAATAAGAGAAATATAATTTTTATATATCATTCTTTTATTTTGTGTGAGACTTAATTTTAAAAAATAATAAAAAATAATATTAAAATAAAAAATTATTTTATCTATAGTAACAAAAAATATTACAATAACTTATTAACTTAATTTATAATAATATTTTAATAAATATAAATACACAAAATGCTGGAGATAAGTAACTTACATTATGTCCGGAATTGCAGCAATATATGAATGAAATTAAGCAAAAAAGAATAGGGGACTTTCTGAAAAGGTAGTTACTGAGAAATTACCTGGAGAAGAATGTTTGACAAATATATCAAATCATTAATACTTCTAACTAAAACAAGTGGAGTTCGCATTGTCCGGTTTATTGCAATACATTTGTCATCCTGCATGTAAGAAATGGTAAAAATGTAAAATTGTAGCAGGGAGAGATATTAGCTTTTACACCTGGGTATTTAATTAAATAAAGATTAAATTACTTTTTTTTTTCCTTCCCATTTATTCAATGAAGTAATAAAAGTTAAACTTAGTCTCTTAATTTTTTAAAATATATAATATAACTTTTTTCATTCAATTGAAACTAACATTATAATCACGTGACATTATTTTAGAAAATTAAGAGATCAAATTAGATTTTTTAATAAGCAAGAGATCAAATTCAATAAATTAAATAAATTTAGAGATCAAATGAGTAATTTAACCTTAAATAAAAGACAAAGAATCACACCTTCTTCACATAGATTAAGAAAAGAAATAATGGATCAACGAAAATTGCCACCAAGCAAAAGAGGGCCAAAATCTTGTTCCATTGTTGTACAACTTTAGCATGAGGATTCATTTTTTTTAACAAGAGAAGATATCATAATCCTAAGTTAGTCATTCTTACATATATATATATGTCATATATCAAAATTCATTTATCTTAAGTTTTATTCTATCATTATATGTATTCTTTATATGTCATTCTTTTATTTAATGTGGACTTCAATTTAAAAAAAATAATTAAAAATAAGAGAAATATAATTTTTATATATCATTCTTTTATTTTGTGTGAGACTTAATTTTAAAAAATAATAAAAAATAATATTAAAATAAAAAATTATTTTATCTATAGTAACAAAAAATATTACAATAACTTATTAACTTAATTTATAATAATATTTTAATAAATATAAATACACAAAATGCTGGAGATAAGTAACTTACATTATGTCCGGAATTGCAGCAATATATGAATGAAATTAAGCAAAAAAGAATAGGGGACTTTCTGAAAAGGTAGTTACTGAGAAATTACCTGGAGAAGAATGTTTGACAAATATATCAAATCATTAATACTTCTAACTAAAACAAGTGGAGTTCGCATTGTCCGGTTTATTGCAATACATTTGTCATCCTGCATGTAAGAAATGGTAAAAATGTAAAATTGTAGCAGGGAGAGATATTAGCTTTTACACCTGGGTATTTAATTAAATAAAGATTAAATTACTTTTTTTTTTCCTTCCCATTTATTCAATGAAGTAATAAAAGTTAAACTTAGTCTCTTAATTTTTTAAAATATATAATATAACTTTTTTCATTCAATTGAAACTAACATTATAATCACGTGACATTATTTTAGAAAATTAAGAGATCAAATTAGATTTTTTAATAAGCAAGAGATCAAATTCAATAAATTAAATAAATTTAGAGATCAAATGAGTAATTTAACCTTAAATAAAAGACAAAGAATCACACCTTCTTCACATAGATTAAGAAAAGAAATAATGGATCAACGAAAATTGCCACCAAGCAAAAGAGGGCCAAAATCTTGTTCCATTGTTGTACAACTTTAGCATGAGGATTCATAACTCCAGGAACATATGAAGAGACGAAATAAATTAGTTTTCGTCCAAAACCCTTGTCATCCCCACAATGATTATTGTTGAACTGCAAACATTCAAAACATGAACAAAAGTGGTGTTTATGTGAAAGTGACAGCAGATAAATGTTTCAAAAAGGAAATAGAAAAGGTCACAATAACTTAAGTATAAGGATACCAAAAAGTTTGGGATAGTTACCTTTAGAATGTAAAGTTTTGTATAAATAATAAATAAATAAAAAACTGGAGGAGTACTATAATCGAATTAGTGATAGAAAGTTAAATTAGCATGTACAAATTTTAACTTCCAACTTTAATGTGATTATTGTATTTTTGATAGATAAAAAAAGGCTTAAATATGTTTTTTAGTCTCTCAATTTTAGAGTAAATTTATCTTTGGTTCCTCAAATTTAAAAATGATGTTTTTAGTCCTTATAATTTTTTTAAAAAAAAATCTTATTTTAGTTATCATATTCAAATTTTGTTAAAAAATTTATCAAATATTATTGCATAAAATTTACTTAATGGTGTTCTTGTAAAATATCATATTAAATCTAATTAATATTGCATAACCGTCTTAATTGGTTACTTTAAGATATATTATTATTAATATAAGAAATTAAACTAAGATTTTTGAAAATTAGAGAGACTATAAAATGACAATTTTAAGTATTTTGTAACAATACATTCAAACACTGTAAAAGTTTTACCAAAAAAAAAAACACTGTAAAAGTGCGCAATATTAATATGCATATTCAAACGCAAAAAATTAAATTATTTTAAACACTTATACCATAAATTCTTATATAATAAAAATTTATTAAATAAGGTTTTAATCAATTAGGTATAAAAGTCTAATTCTTAATAATATTTTACATACCATATACATTTCTCATTATTCATCCTGGTAAAAGGTTTCCAAGTTATTTATTTATTTATTTATTTATTTTATGTAAAAACCTATGCATATTGCTCTATTTCCAATTAGATCGTATAACATAGTTATCTTTAAGGACAATAAGTGTAGACTTATCACTATATCTATATATATATATATATATATATATAACTTTGAGTCTAGGTGAATTCTCTAATGGAACACTTATATAAGTGTTGTATGGGTGCACTATGAAAAATTACCATTAGATGCATCTAAGTGTACTAGTTATCATGCACCCTATCATACAAGATCTAAATTTCTAAATTTTTTATCAAATTAATTTTTTTTAAAAAAAAATTACCCAAAAATTCAAACTGTCACACGTCAGTGTTCACCATCAGAACGGGCCGTTCTAAAATCAGAACGGCCCGTTCCCGATGAAAAAAATAACACATACAAATACACCAGAACGACCGGTTCCAGATTCAAAAAAAAGACATGAGAAGTTGAATCAGAACGGGTCGTTCTACATTAGGAACGAGTCGTTCCAGGTGAAAAAATAACACATAACGAATAAACCAGAATGGTCCGTTCTAGTTTCAAAAATAACAAATCACTAGATAAACCAGAACAGGCCGTTCTGAATTCGGAACGGGCTGTTCCAACAACATATTTGTCATACAAACTTTTTTTTTAGCAAAATAATATTTTTTTCATTCTACTAAATTACATTTAAAATTTAAGTATAGTATTTCAATTGATAATTTCTTTTATTAGAATTAGAGGTTTATATTAATTATATGCGTAAATTTCTAATTATAATTAGAAAATAACACTAAACAAAATTTTCTACTATAAATATAATATTTTCTCATTTAAATCATTGCAAAAATTTGTTAGTTTTAGTTTTCCATCTCGACATTTTCTCTTAAAAAAATTATGTTAACAAATATTATTGGGCCTAATTTTGGGCTTCAAGGACCTTTGAGCTTTTGACAACTTCTGAGCTTAGTGAGCCCAATGGGTTTGGTGGGCCTAAGGTTCTCTTTACTTGGGCTTTACATGGATGACCACCTTTCTCATATATTTGGTAGTATAGGAGTTTATATTGTTTGGTCTTGTATTATGGGCCTTAGTATAAGACTTTTTGGGTTTTAAGCTTATTGGGCCTAGTTTTGGGCTTCATGGGCCTTTGGGCTTTTGATTGCTTCTGAGCTTAGTGAGCCCAATGGGTTTGGTGGGCCTAGGGTTCTCTTTACTTGGGCTTTACATGGATGACCACCTTTCTCATATATTTGGTAGTATAGGAGTTTATATTGTTTGGTCTTGTATTATGGGCCTTAGTATAAGACTTTTTGGGTTTTAAGCTTATTGGGCCTAGTTTTGGGCTTCATGGGCCTTTGAGCTTTTGACTGCTTCTGAGCTTAGTGAGCCCAATGGGTTTGGTGGGCCTAGGGTTCTCTTTACTTGGGCTTTACATGGATGACCACCTTTCTCATATATTTGGTAGTATAGGAATTTATATTGTTTGGTCTTGTATTATGGGTCTTAGTATAAGACTTTTTGGGTTTTAAGCTTATTGGGCCTAGTTTTGGGCTTCATGGGCCTTTGGGCTTTTGATTGCTTCTGAGCTTAGTGAGCCCAATGGGTTTGGTGGGCCTAGGGTTCTCTTTACTTGGGCTTTACATGGATGACCACCTTTCTCATATATTTGGTAGTATAGGAGTTTATATTGTTTGGTCTTGTATTATGGGCCTTAGTATAAGACTTTTTGGATTTTAAGCTTATTGGGCCTAATTTTGGGCTTCATGGGCCTTTGGGCTTTTGACTGCTTTTGAGCTCAGTGAGCCCAATGGGTTTTGTGGACCTAGGGTTCTCTTTACTTGGATTTTACATGGATGACCACCTTTCTCATATATTTGGTAGTATAGGAGTTTATATTGTTTGGTCTTGTATTATGGGCCTTAGTATAAGACTTTTTGGGTTTTAAAGCTTATTGGACCTAATTTTGGGCTTCTTGGGCCTTTGGGCTTTTGACTGCTTTTGAGCTCAGTGAGCCGAATGGGTTTGGTGGGCCTAGGATTCTCTTTACTTGGGCTTTACATGGATGACCACCTTTCTCATATATTTGGTAGTATAGGAGTTTATATTGTTTGGTCTTGTATTATGGGCCTTAGTATAAGACTTTTTGGGTTTTAAAGCTTATTGGGCCTAATTTTGGGCTTCTTGGGCCTTTGGGTTTTTGACTACTTCTGAGCTTAGTGAGCCCAATGGGTTTGGTGGGCCTAGGGTTCTCTTTACTTGAGCTTTACCTAAATGACCACCTTTCTCATATATTTGGTAGTATAGGAGTTTATATTGTTTGGTCTTGTATTATGGGCCTTAGTATAAGACTTTTTGGGTTTTAAAGCTTATTGGGCCTAATTTTGGGCTTCATGGGCCTTTGGGATTTTGACTGCTTTTGAGCTCAGTGAGCCCAATAGGTTTGGTGGGCCGAGGGTTCTCTTTACTTGAGCTTTACATGGATAACCACCTTTCTCATATTTTTGGTAGTATAGGAGTTTATATTGTTTGGTCGTGTATTATGGGCCTTAGTATAAGACTTTTTGGGTTTTAAGCTTATTGGGCCTAATTTTGGGCTTCATGGGCCTTTGGGCTTTTGATTGCTTTTGAGCTCAATAAGCCCAATGAGTTTGGTGGGCCTAGGGTTCTCTTTACTTGGGCCTTACATGGATGACCACCTTTCTCATATATTTGGTAGTATAGGATTTTATATTGTTTGGTCTTGTATTATGGGCCTTAGTATAAGATTTTTTGGGTTTTAAGCTTATTGAGCCTAGTTTTGGACTTCATGTGCCTTTGGCTTTTGACTGCTTCTGAGCTCAGTGAGCGCAATGAGTTTGGTGGGCCTAGGGTTCTCTTTACTTGGGCCTTACATGGATGACCACCTTTCTCATATTTTTGGTAGTATAGGAGTTTATATTATTTGGTCTTGTATTATGGGCCTTAGTATAAGATTTTTTGGGTTTTAAGCTTATTGAGCCTAGTTTTGGACTTCATGTGCCTTTGGCTTTTGACTGCTTCTGAGCTCAGTGAGCGCAATGGGTTTGGTGGGCCTAGGGTTCTCTTTACTTGGGCTTTACATGGATGACCACCTTTCTCATATTTTTGGTAGTATAGGAGTTTATATTATTTGGTCTTGTATTATGGGCCTCACTATAAGACTTTTTGGGTTTTAAGCTTATTAGGCTAAGTTTTGGGCTTCATTCATAGGATGCTTGATGTCATTGAGGAAGGGACTTCATATCTCACTCACGCTTAGCACCAAACTATCTGTACCTAATGTCACTGAGGCAAAGAGTCTCCTATTCTCTTGTGTCTAGTATGACAAAACTCACGCCCGACCCTAATTAGGCAGAGGGCCTTTGTGTAACTTATGTTTAACGCCACATACAATAGCACCCAATGCAAATCCAAACAAAAAATGAGTATCTCTCCTCACACTAGGTGACATTTAATCAACGCCTAATGTTTGTGACATTGACAACAAAACCACAAAAGTCTATGCACCTTAAAAGCAATTAAATTAATACAAATCAAATTTAAAAATATTTGGTAACATCATTTTTTTAAGAGGAAAATGTCGAGATATAAAACTAAAACTGACAAATTTTTGCAATGATTTAAATGAGAGAAAATTATATTTATAAAAGAAAATTTTGTTTGTTGTTATTTTCTAATTAGAATTAGAAATTTACGCATATAATTAATGTAAACCTCTAATTCTAATAGAAAAACATTATCAATTGAAAAACTATACTTAAATTTTAAATGTAATTTAGTAGAATGAAAAAAAAAATTATTTTGCTAAAAAAATTCTTATGACAAATGTAGTTAGAACGACCATTTCCGAATTCAGAACAGGTCGTTCTGGTTTAACTAGTCATGTGTTATTTTTGAATCTGGAACGGACCGTTCTGATTTCGGAACGGGCCGTGTTGATTTTGGAACAGGTCATTCTGATCCATTCGTCATGTATTTTTTTTTATCTGGAACGGTCCGTTCTGATCCGTTATTCATGTGTTATTGTTTCATCTGGAACAGCTCGTTCTGAAATCAGAACGGCCCGTTCCGAACATGAATAGCAGTTGCGTCGATGCATCGTAACACGTGTTTTTTTTTTGGTAATTTAAAAAAAAATAATTTCAGTAAAATATTCAAAAATTTTGATCTTGTATATGAAGATGTATAATATACTATTACTCATTAAATGATAATCTCAATCGTTCATTATTTTTATATTATATCTATGGTGATTATTGATGTAGCATCTGTGCACCACTTGTAAAGTGAACTATCAAATACATCACCTTGAGTCTAAGCACAAAAGCTTATCCGATCGATGTTGTATGTTATATATACAACATCAGTTACAAAATAATCAATTTAACAATTATTACATTGATGTCATTGCCTCGTATTATATCTTATTTTTCACTAATAAAGTACTTGTAAAAAAAGAATAATAAAAAAATGGTTTTTCCATAACCAATTAAACTCTATAAATTATTAGATTAATAAAATCATTTATGCTAAACTACTTTGCTCAGAATAAAGCTGATTGTATAGTGTAAAATCTCGTTGATGTAATATTCCCTCTTTATTACTTTTTAAAAGATCTAAATCTAAAATATTGTTTAATTCTTTTATATATATAAAACTCAATTTAAAATATCTCTTACATTAATTATTTTTTAAAATAAGTACTCTTCATTAATACATGTTTATTGATTCAGTAAATACGTGATAAAGTAAGAATCTCGTTAATGTAAGAAATAATTTTGGAATAAGTATAAATTTAATATTATCAACAAAATTAACTAATTTTTAAAAAAAAATAAAACTTAGGTATTATTCCTTATATATGTAGATGATATTGTTTTTCAATAAGTTTTACCTTAATAATATGTACTCATATTTAATATATATTCTATTAATATAAATTTATATATATTACTAAGATAAAATTCTAATTCTGATTAGAAAACAACATTAGCAATACTTATTAAAGAATTGTACCTATGTTTTATTTCTTATTAAATCATACATCATAGTAAATTAAATAATTGAGTCTCATATGTAATCAAAGTTAAATTCAAAATATAGAAATCAGTGTTTTCGTAAATCCAAGAAGAAACAGAAAGTGTATTTTAGGAAGAAAGGTACCTTGGGATGAACTTTAGTTGAAGGTTTTCGAGAAGCCTTGATATAAGTAGGGCAAGTAGAACAATAAGGATCGTTGCACATTACTAGTTTCTCAGACCTACTTAAGTATTTATGCTTTATATCAAAGTCGTTATTCCAATCATTTTCATGTGCACCATCCAAAGTATGAAATATGTTTGTGCTCTCTGCTATGTTTCCTATCGCAGTTGGACTTGCTGTTCCTTCATATGATTTCAAGGAGGCTATAGGAATAGAAATTGATGCATTTGGTGTCCTAGACACACGCCTCCGTAATTCAGAATCCTCGACTACATCAGATATTTCTGCCATCATTTTAACCTCATCTTTTTCTAGCTGTGCCATGTTTTCTTCGTGGGAATCTAATACAAACTAACAAAACAACAAAATAACCATTTATGCGCTATATATCAGCAATTTCAAAACAAAGTAATTATTACTCACAAGTTGTTGATTGTAGGAAAAATAAGTTTTCCTTAAAGATTTAATTAAAATTTTCAACAAAATTTAGTTATAATACAAAAACACAAAAGAGGAAAAGCAACTCAATTTAGCACAAAAAATTGAAAGCCAGTGCATCAGTAATTTAGCACAGAAACATGAAAGCCAGAGCTATACATTAGCCACAAAGTCAAATGAAATTTAATGCACCGTCATAAGGAAGATCCATGTTTTATGTGGCTGAGAATCAATTATAGAATGATATATCTCTTTACATTTGAAATTACCTGATACCGCAAAGTAGCAACTGCAACTTGAATTTGTAGGAATTGCAAGTGGACTTAGGAATCAGATGAAGAATTCCGGTATATTTAAATAACTAATGAGTCCAAGTTGAAAGAAAAAAGTGCAATGAACAATAATGAAGAAAATCAAGAGAGGAAACAAACCTAGAAAGAGCACGAGGTGGTTGAAGAGGAAATGAATTCGCCGACAAAACTCGACCAACTATGATGAAAGTTGAAGAATGTGCTGCTTTGAGAGGTTGGTCAAAGAGGAAAGTAGAAAGAAGTTTCTGACAAAGCTTGACTTGAGAGCTCATGATATTTTACGAAATTATTTTTAAACACTTAAAAAAATGAATTAATTATTTATATATTGTAAAAAAAATTATATTAATAATTAATTATATTTTTTAATTATATCATGTTAATGTAAATATATTTATTTTTAATAATAACATAGCATAATTAAAATATATAATTAGTTATTAATATAAAAAAAATTTACACTAATAATGTATAAGTAATTAACTTAAAAAAAATATATATCTATCTTACCCTCTTAAAAAGCCATATTTTTATTTTTTTAACTAATTAAAATATAAAAAAAAACATAGTTAATTCATTTTTTTTTCTCATGGCAGGTGTTTAAAACGTGATACCCGACATTTTACGAGGCCGTTGAAATAAAACATGAAAATTCTAACATATATAAATATAATTAAGAGTATTTATAAATTGCTTCAATTTAATAAAAGTATACAATTGGAAATCAAAAATCGAAAACAATGAAAATCAAAATTTTATTAGATTAGATTTCACAATTTGATTTTAAAAATTGATTCATTGATTTAAACCAAACTTATACATGAATATTTATTTTTTTATTTATAAATTACGATACCATTTATTTTATATATTTCTAAAGTCATATAGTAACTTATAGACTTAATTACATATTTTGTTATATAAATTTTATACAAATTTTGCCACTTGACTTTTAAATTGATATATTTTATATGATTAGAATTAAGTCACATCAATTTTGATACACATAAGAAAGAAGCAATTATTGTTATGCTTTGTTATCATAATTTTGACGACGTAGATTTATTAAAACACGTGGATCTCCGATCCACATCTAAACATTTTTTTGTCACCTAATTTTTAAGATTTTATATTTTATCATCATAATTGACATTCTAATGTGTGAGTTAATTATTATTATGTTAGATGAACTAATATTAAATTATGTCACTAATTTATGTTGATGATAAATGTGACATATTAGTGGTTAATATTTCATATAATAATTAATTAATGGATAATAAAATATGTAAAATTTTAAAATTAAATGATAAAATGTACAATTTAAAAGTTGAGTAATAAAATTAAAAAAAAATTGTGAAATTTAAATGGAAAAATACATAGTTATGAAAATATATTTAATTAAATATTATTTTTCCGGTAACTATTTGAGTAGAGGTATGAAAGTGTAATTATTAAGTTATGTAAATTTAATTTTAATGTTATATATTTGAAAAATTATACTATTCTTAATTATTTGACTTACAAATGAGATATTTGATATTTTAATATTTTTATACTTATTATATATCTTATAATATGCGTTCATATCGAATCCAATCGTGAATAAAAAATAATAAAAAAATCCAATCCAATAAAAATATAATCCAATCTAAAAATCGATGAAAATCAATTTTATTTGAATTTTTTGGACCATTATTTTGCATAACTATAGGTTATCTAAAGTTGTGTTATCTAAAACGAATTTTGCATTATCTAAAGTTGACCATTTCATATGGACTTTATTTTACTACGACTTCTAAATATAATGTTGATTGAGGTGGCGTGATACTTAGGATAAAAAAATTTACGGGTATTTACTTGATTTATATTGATTTGAATACAATTTTCTAACCTTGTAAAAAGCAACCAAGAGTCGTACGATTCTCAACTGAAGTTGAATATCGAACAATTGTTAATACCACTACAAAATTACTTTAATTATAACAGCTTCTTCAGGAGCTTGGTATAATAGTACCTCCAACAAAATTTTTAGATAACCTAGGAGTCACCTACCTATATGCCAATCCATTTTTCACTCAAGAATGAAGCATTTGACCATAAATATCATTTTGTTCGAGATTTGGTTGCTGAAAAGAAATTTCGTGTATCTCATGCGACCATTAATCATCAACTTGAAAACTTATTAATCAAGCTTCTTTATGACTCACGACATAACTTTCTCACAATGATCAAGATTAGAGTCATTGACTCTACCTCCATCTTGTGGGGGCATGTAATTAAGAGTATTATAACATCCACTTGATCTTATCAATTAGTTGTAGTGTTCCGGTTGTTATCAATTTATTAAGAAAACTGAAGTTGTTATGTTCTAACTATTATGTTAGTTTGTTAAGATAAGATCATATTATTATGTAACAATTTCACTTTGTTAGTATAAGCTCCTCACATATGTGTATATATAGTTTCTGCTTGTACATATTTTTGATGAATAAAAATTATCAATCTCACTTTTCCTATATGCCACAGATAAGGTAAAAAAAATACAAAATGTCAAGTGTTCTAATTTAAGATAAATTTAATAAAATAAATTCGATATAAAAATACAAAGTAAAATATCTATGTTATTTCAACATAAAAGAAACAACATTATAAAAAAATTAACCAGAGACTAAAAAAATTTAAAAAACCTACAAGGATAGGAACTAAAAGAATTTATCTTAAATTATATGAATCAAAAAGTTAAAAAAAGAATATAAATATAAAAACTAAAAAACTCTATTTTAAATTATAGAGATTAAAAAAATATTTTAACTTTAATTTATTATTTTTGACATATCAGATATTATTATTTGTGTCGCTTATTAAATTTTCTTCATCAACGACATTTTTTTATATTAAAATCATACATAACTGTGCAAGCAACCATCTCCATATCAATGTTTAATCCAAATAGGAATTTGCATGATTTAGTCGTTTATTCCTGTATCTCCATGCAACCTGAATACGGATTGCTGCATGGGATCTCCAATATGGTGATTCATACCTAAAATAACACAATTATCAAATGTTATGATTGTTAGCCATGGATTTCAAAAGAATCAAGACATGATGACATGCTTAACAAGAACAAAACACTGATGCCAAGTGAAAGACATAATACATATGAATGAACTAATAATTCTAAAAAATAAGTGGTGGGGAGGGGAGGGACATAAACCTCTCATCCTTAACTACGCTTCCCCTGTATCAATATTTTTGTGAGGATAAAGCTGTGCTTGTGCTTAATATCATTAGTTAACTTCCATATTCTTCGAGTCATAAATTGGTCAAGAAGATTATGCTCAATCATAAGTATAGATGTTACTATACAAAAGACTCTTTCAACTGATTTATACCCTCTAAAAAAGTTGGTTAATTTAGTTGATAATGTTAAATTTATCAATAATATATGAAGGTTCATTTTAAAAGGAACAAAGTAAAAAGGTTCTTATGTATAGAAACAGAGAAAGTAGGAGACAAGGGAATGACCTTAAGGCTCCTTGAACACGCGAACTACGCAAGAATCTGGTGAAAAGGATTGTGACTTCTTCAAGGTCTGCAGCTCGGAGTGACAGTGCTTCCACATTTGTTGAGCATCTTACTGTCCTGTTGCTAAGCAACCTCTGACCTGGAAGCCTCACTCTTCTGCCATCTGCAGGAGAAATCAAATTGATGAACAATGCTGCTATAACTTTAGTACTCCTTTTGACCTCTAAGTTTGAATGTTTAGTTACTATGCATTTTATCATTGCATTTCACCAAGTATTGATTTACCTGTGCTGACAGAAGAATGCTCAAGATACCATGTGAGGAGTTCTTCACCACAAGCATCCCCTTCAGATAAAGGAATTCTAGTTCCATCTTCTCCGATGCTCTCCAATTTACCACGCACCACGAATACCATCTTCTCTACCACAGCACCATGACTCAAAATTCTACTTCCTTTGATGTATGTCGTTTGTCTTAGCCTCTCACAAACAGCATCTAAGATCGGCTCATCCATCAGAGCGAAAATTCGAACCTGAAGATGTTTTAGATTCTCATGTTATGGGTACAAAGTGGTAAAGAAATAAAAGCAAATTAAATCATCATTACAAACATCCAGGATTGTTTAACACACAAAGGCTTTGTTTTTGTCCATAGACATATAGTCTTTCTGGTATTCCAAAGTTGACACAATCAAAAGATTAATATGTACTCATGAGACGTGTCTACTGCTTGCAAACATCATTTTAACATTGTTAGATTCAATTCTGAAAATACCAAGTCGACCTTTCATATTCAAGATCAAGACAAGCCTTATTACCACTAGACTAAGAGGCTTGGTTAATACACTAAGGCTTTAATATATATCATAATCAATTTTTAGATTCATTAATAAGATGCATAAACAACAACAACCAAGCCTTTATCCCACTAGGTGGGGTCGGCTATATGGATCAAACGACGCCATAGGGATCTATCATAAATCATTTCTCTTGATAAGGCATTGATCTCCATGTCCTTTAGCACTGTTTCCCCTATAGTTTTCCGAGGCCTTCCTCTCCTTCTAGCTCCAACAGTAGCCTCCATCTCATCGACCCTCCTCACCGGTGCGTCAGCCGGTCTTCTCCACACATGCCCAAACCATCTAAGACGGGACTCAACCAACTTCTCCACAATAGGTGCAACAACAACAACAACAACCAAGCCTTTATCCCACTAGGTGGGGTCGGCTATATGGATCAAACGACGCCATAGGGATCTATCATAAATCATCTCTCTTGATAAGGCATTGATCTCCATGTCCTTTAGCACTGTTTCCCCTATAGTTTTCCGAGGCCTTCCTCTCCTTCTAGCTCCAACAGTAGCCTCCATCTCATCGACCCTCCTCACCGGTGCGTCAGCCGGTCTCCTCCACACATGCCCAAACCATCTAAGACGGGACTCAACCAACTTCTCCACAATAAGTGCAACCCCCACACTTTCTCGGATGCATTCATTTCTAATCCGATCTTTTATCGTGTGTCCGCACATCCACCGTAACATCCTCATCTCGGCTACATGAAGTTTATTCTCTTGTTGCCCCTTTGCGGCCCAACACTCGGTCCCATATAATATAGCCGGCCTAACAGCAGTACGGTAGAACTTTCCTTTAAGCTTAAGAGGCACCTTTTTATCACATAGCACCCCGGACGCCCTCCTCCATTTCATCCAACCCGCTTGGATCCTATGATGTACATCGCCTTCCAACTCTGCATCTTGCTGAACAATAGATCCCAAGTACTTAAACCTTGGGACTTTTGCTATTGCTTGCTCTCCAATCTTCACCTCCTGAGTTGCCCTTGTGTTCCGCATGCTAAACTTACACTCCATATATTCCGTCTTACTTCGGCTTATCAGCAAGCCATGTTCTTCCAGGGCTTGTCTCCATCTTTCGATCTTCTCATTTATCTCTTCCCTAGAGTCTCCCGTAAGAACAATATCATCGGCAAAAAGCATGCATCGGGGTAATAAGATGCATAAAGCTGTCTTCAAAATTTTCTAGACATTTAAACATGCATCCAGTTATAGCATGTTACAAATAGAGACAAAAGTAAAACAAACTTTATAAAGTTAAAAGAGTGGATGAGATTTTGAAGTTCGCTTAAGATCTAATCCACATAGTTACAATCCATTCATGGTGCAAGCATGATAAATTGGGGTAATCACGACTAGTCATCTATGACAATGCCACAGATATTTTAGTGCTTACTTTTTTAACAAACTTGAAGAGATGGCGCCTTATGTCCACTTGGAGATCTTCTGGAAAATTCTCCATTAGAATTGCTTCATTCACCCCTCTTGTTGCAGTCCAACTATACCGTTCAGCCTCTCGCACTTTCCTGCATGAAAAACATATCATTTATCACTTTTTCATTCATTTGATCCATTATTTCATATGACATAATACCTAGATAAAAATGATAAATAGTAGACATACAAGTTCTGAAAATTAGGCCTATAGACATTCTATATTGTAGAATACTTGGTAGCACTTTATATGTGTATATATTGTCTGCATCATTGCCCAATAAGATGTTATCAACAACTATTTGTATTTGTTGCAGGGTTGTGTACTAAATAACGTAGAGTGATCGATCATATGTAGGTTTGGTTGGTGGTATATACATTTTGACAAGTGTTTGTTATTTGGGACTTGCTGAATTTTTAAAGGAGACTTCGGAAATTTCTATAATTTTAGTCTATTTGGAAAACGATTGTGCTTAGTGTGTTTATGATGCTTAAACATACAAGGCTAAAATGAGTTTCAGTTAGTTTAACTTGCAACAACTCAGTTTTTGAGTCATGACACATTGTCAGAAAGGGAGGGGATGGGAATTAACAACCAAAGACTTGAATCAAGAAATTGACAAAAACTCTCATTGACAACGTTGATATGATTCATGAAAAGAATGAGAAAATTCTATACTTTCGTAGGTATTCTGGTAAGTGTCGATGACTCATCCATTGCTCAACATCTCGGCGTCTAAGCTGCATTTCTAGCCTCCTATTAAAGGGAACGAAGAAAATAAATCATCTGTGTTGCAACACCAAACACGAGCACTTGATCATCAAAGTTCGCTTGAAAGTTGCAGTATTAGATTAGTTCTACCTCCGTCCAAGACCTTGAAGAAAGTTTTGTATGTTTCCAATGAGAAGTGCGAAAAGCAATAGTCCCAATCCAATGATGGCCATAGTAAAAAGGACTTCCCACACAAAATTGCTAGGTGTTTGGTTACCAGCCAGAGTACTAATTTGCTGTATAAAGATCACATTGGGAATAGTTGTTAGAGATAATATTAAATCATTCATATGAATTAATTAGAGTTTAGTTTTCAATAGTGTTGGTACTAGTTGGACCTTGACAAATAACAATTGACATTGAGCTAGTAAACCATTTTTATGCATTTAAAATCATTTCCTACATTGAGCTATTGAGTGCTATAGATACATCAAACTTTTACACTAGTGTCATTTGATCCTCACTACATATGGGCACACAATTACTACTAAAAGAACAAAACAGTTAGGAACAAAATGCATACCAGTAATCCCCAAAATAGAGCATATACATATTTGGTGACTATGTCTGTTTGTGTAGTAAGAGGTACAGCATTGGCATAAATCCCATAAACAAAAGAACCTTGGGAAGGGGAATTCCAACAAGCAATAGCATCTGTATTGTTGTTCCACTGGTTTGATGATAGGCCAAGCTGATTGTGTCTATTATGACCTTGTCCACAATCGATGAATGTCAGGCATCCAGGTATATTAGAACTGTGGCATGCATTTCGAAAACATTGATTAACCCTCTGTAAGAAGAGGAGAGAGAAGGAGAAAGTTAGAAAATTGAATGTTAGCCTTCATTTACTGAATTAAATACTTAATTCCAATTGAATCACTCGTCTTCAAAGCATCCAAGGAAACATAACAGCTTTGATAGTTGAGTTTCATTACCAATACTGCAGTAATATCTACAACGACAATTATTTCTAAGATATACTAATATCATATTGACAAAGCACTTCATACTGCTCATAAATGTGCATTCAAATGAATCAAGTATTATTTGTTATGCCTTTTCTTTCTGTTCTTAACAGGATTTAATGGCAGACGAGCAATTTGTATCTTATGCTACACAAAAAACACAAGTTTTCTATTTGTTTGAGGAGATATAATTTTTCAAAAGGAGTCCTGTATCTTACACTTCATAGTTCATACATGTCTCCACATTAGTATTCATGAGATACTTACCACTTTAGCCTTAAAGTCTCATGAATTTACTTTTAGTTATCACTTAAAAGACCTTAAACCAATGAAGACTTGTGTATTTTATAAACTCATGTTTCTCCTCCTTTCCTAATGACGTGGAACTTGTTTTGTATTCCAACAGAAAACTCGTACTACTTTTGAAATAAGCATCAAATGCCATTTTCACTAACCTGCAGAGCAAAGAGGTACCAGCAAGATCCAACAACATGGCTAGCTAACATAAAAATGAGAAGGTTTATAACGAAATTTGCCCAGGCTGACTCGAATATGAATCCTGCTGGAGACTGGCCAAACAGCATTGGCAGAAACCTGAATAATCTGGGAATATACTGCACTAGGATTGCTGCACGCAGAGCATTCTTAGCATAATTTGCTCCCCTCAAAGATTTTGGTAGGACAGACAACAACATGATCTGCATAAATTTTAGGAGAGATAAAAAATTGAGTATGCACATAATAGCTTTAAGATTTTAAACAATTTGCTCTTGCAACGGGAATCACAATAGATTTTATCATAGCACACAGCTTCTCTCATGTATGCCTTATTAAACTTATCATAAATAAATAATTGTCAATTAATAATTGATATCTCAAAATACATCAGAAAAAGAAATTGAAACCTTAACTTATCCCAGTTTTGGAGGGGAAAATGATGAGGGTATTTTTATGGTATTTGTCTGAGAGGATATTTTATGAAATAATTTTATAAGGTTATTACACAAACATACTCCACAATGATGAAATATTGTCCGCTTTGGGCCTTAGCCCTCACGGTTTTGCTTTTGGTCATCACCCAAAAGGCGTTATATAAGTTGTTATTTCTTGTGTTATTTTATCGATGTGGGACTTGTTTGTATCCTAACAATCCTCCTCTCAAACAAGGGACGCGGCTCTGATACCACTGATGAGGTTATTTTTATGGTATTTGTCTGAAAAGATATTTTATGAAATATTTTTATAAGGTTATTACACAAACATACTCCACAAAAATGAGATATTGTCCGCTTTGGGACTTAGCCTTCACGGTTTTGCTTTTGGTCATCACCCAAAAGGCCTCTCAATCATTGAAGTATGTTTATGTTATATAAGTTGTTATTTCTTGTGTTATTTTATCGATGTGGGACTTGTTTGTATCCCAACAATTCCTCCCCCCAACATCTTTGTTGTGTATATCTTTAATCACACAATTTTTATCTTCAAATAACACTTTATAGCCTTTTCCTAATAATTGAGAAACACTCAATAAATTTTGGTTAATATCAGGAACGTATAAAACATCATATATTAATTTAAAACCTGAATGACTCTTAATAGCAAGTGTTCCTTTGCCTTTTACTGCAAGGTGTGCTCCATTCCCCATTTGAACTTTAGAGATATCAGTTTTGTTGAGTTCTTTGAAGAGTTCTCGATCATAGGTCATATGATTGTACAACCACTATCAATAATCCAAGCTTTTGAGGGTTTTTTGGTCATAAAGCATGACATTGAAAGTAGTTCTTCTTCTCCCTCTTCTTGTTGATCTTCAACAATGTTAGCTTCTTCTTGTTGCTCATGAGATTTGCATACATGTTTTAGGCCTTTTGGGTGATGACCAAAAGCAAAACCGTGAGGGCTAAGGCCCAAAGCGGACAATATCTCATCATTGTGGAGTATGTTTGTATAATAACCTTATAAAAATATTTCATAAAATATCCTCTCAGACAAATACCATAAAATAATCCCATCAGTGGTATCAGAGCCACAGGTTGGATTCGGTGACAACCAATAACCCTATAACCCCTCATAACTCATAAAATATAATATGCTATATAAAGACAGATTCCGCTGCATGAAAGGTTAGGTCCCTTGTTTGAGAGGAGAATTGTTGGGATACAAACAAGTCTCACATCGATAAAATAACACAACAAATAACAATTTATATAATATAAACATACTTCAATGATTGATAGACCTTTTGGGTGATGACCAAAAGAAAAACCGTGAGGGCTAAGGCCCAAAGCGGACAATATCTCATCATTGTGGAGTATGTTTGTGTAATAACCTTATAAAAATATTTCATAAAATATCCTCTCAGACAAATATCATAATGGGGTTATTTCTTGTGTTATTTTATCGATGTGGGACTTGTTTGTATCCCAACAATCCTCCTCTCAAACAAGGGACCTAACCTTTCATGCAGCGGAATCTGTCTTTATATAGCACATTATATTTTATGAGTTATGAGGGGTTATAGGGTTATTGGTTGTCACCGAATCCAACCTGCGGCTCTGATACCACTGATGAGGTTATTTTTATGGTATTTGTCTGAAAGGATATTTTATGAAATATTTTTATAAGGTTATTACACAAACATACTCCACAATGATGAGATATTGTCCGCTTTGGGCCTTAGCCCTCACGGTTTTGCTTTTGGTCATCACCCAAAAGGCCTCTCAATCATTGAAGTATGTTTATGTTATATAAGTTGTTATTTCTTATGTTATTTTATCGATGTGAGACTTGTTTGTATCCTAACAGAAAAAGACTTTATAAACTGTTGGGATACAAATAAGTCCCACATCGATAAAATAAGAGAAAAAATAATAACTTATAAAACATACTCATACTCCAATGAAAGAGAGGTCTTTTGGGTGATGACCAAAAGCAAAATTATGAAGGCTTAGGCCCAAAGCGGAAAATATCTCATCATTGTGGAGTTGTGTGTGAAAAACCTTATAAAAATAACTCTCATAAAATATCTCATCAGACAAATACCATAAAATAACTCCAACATAAACTGAATCTCAAACACAATGGCAACATCAAGGGCGTTCACTGTTAGACTTTTGCCTCAACAACAAAATCAAGATTTGAAGGTATACATGTGAAGGAGTAAAGAATAAGATAGAGCGATTAGTTAGAGACTTAGAGATATCCGGTATTAAACATTGAGAGAATAAGCAGTGTCTTTTGTTGAAGGGGAAACTCTTGGAGGACCGATTCTTTCCTATTCTTGTTAATGAAAGTGTTCTTTCATTTCATTCTTTTGCCTTGGATTCCTAACATTCATGTTTTCCTTTTATGTCAAAGATACAACACTGATGATAATTTAACTGTGACAAAAACATACATTGCACAAGATGACTAGAAAATGTATACTTTCAAAACTGACAATGTCAAGGAACTGGAGAGAAAATAGTAAAATGTAATCATCTTCAATTGTTAGGCTTGCATATTTCATAATACACATTAAGAATTAGGAGGTAAGTAAAGATACCTTAAATACTAAGTTAGAAGGAGCAAAATCAGCCAAAAGAAAGGGAAAAAATAAATCCAAAAGAAAGAAAGGTAAATGGGAAGAAATTTACCTGAGGAAGAGGAAATACAACAAATAAGTCAATAAGAAAATAACCCTTCAGGTAATGAAGAGCAATTTTCTTTGGATGGTCAACTAAATCTCCAGCACCTACCACCCTCGACTCGGGAGAAACAAAAGCCAACCTAAACTGCAACAAGGAAACTTAGCAGAGTTATATAAACCTTAAATTATGAAAACTAAAATTTCCTTGAATAGGACAAATATCCTTTGAGTTTGCTTTTATTAGCCTAAAGCCTGTTAATTTGGTGCTAGAAAACTCTTTTGACACACATTTATCAGAATATTCATCTTCTCAAAACCAAAACATGGTCTAATAGAATCAGGGAACTGCTTGAATTTCTTTTTTTCAAACTAAAAAATAGTATCATTCTATGAACATATGGATTTGCAAAAATTAAAAGCAGGGGGGTTAGGAGGGGGAGGCTTCTAAAAAGGTGGTTATTCAAAAGTTACCTGGAGAAGAATGTTAAGCAAATATATGAAGTCATTCATGCTTCTAACTATAACTAGTGCTTTTGTCAATCTCCAGTTGATAACTATACAATTATAATCCTGCACGGGAAAAATGCAAATTAATTTTCATATTGTTGCAGGGAAAGATATTATTAGAACTTGCAAATATTTTGTAACTAAATAAAAAAAAATCATATTCATACCTGCTGAA